AGATGGCAACCGCCAAAATACTCTGACCTGTGTCAAGGCTGCAGCAGCAAGTGATGTCATAGACAGGGCCTTTTGAACACCTGCTAATGTTTTTATAAATGTATGGTTTAATGTAACTGTGCAACAACGTTGCAATTAAATGTGCTATATAAATGATAACAGTTACTCCGCCCACTCCAGTTGTAGACTACTGGAGGCAAGAACACTTCACACAATTTCCCCAGAAATTGTAACTTTTCTAGTTATTATTATTATTATTATAGCAAAATTTGCCACCCTAACTCCTCCCACAGTTTTTACACTACATAGACAAAAATTTACCAAAACGTGCAGATTGTTCCCGATCGGATTGCTATTACTTTGTGGAACGTTTCGCCGAATGGTTCACGGAATATCGTCGTTTTTGTGGCGAAATTTGTCCCATAGGAATGAATGGCAAAGCTAGAGTGGGAGCTGCCAAAAGCTGAAAAATCAGGACATGATTTCTAAACTGCCACCACTCCCCTATTTTCAGGCCCACCTACACAAATCTTATATCAAAACGTTCAGCTATCCCTGCTGCCACTAAACATGTCAACGGCTAAGCCGTAGTCCTGATAGTTTTCACAATATGACCATTTGTTTGCAACCAACGCCGTCCATTGGCATTCATTGAAACTTCACTCTGCAAAGCTCAAATTTGAAGTGCAATTTCTAAACTGCGACTGCGCCTTCATTTTTAATACTTCAGAGACATACTATGCATCCAAATGTAGGTCTGGGTCTTGTGATTCTCACAATATAAAGCTCTTCACTGTAGGATTTATAGTTTTTAAAATATGACCGTTTGAAGATGGCAACCACCAAAATACTCTGACCTGTCAAGCTGCAGCAGCAAGTGATGTCATAGACAGGGCCTTTTGAACACCTGCTAATGTTTTTATAAATGTATGGTTTAATGTAACTGTGCAACAACGTTGCAATTAAATGTGCTATGTAAATGATAACAGTTACTCCGCCTACTCCAGTTGTAGACTACAGGTGGAGGCAAGAACACTTCACACAATTTCCCCAGAAATTGTAACTTTTCTAGTTATTATTAAGTGTTCTGCATAGCAAGACCACTTAATGTTATCTCACATATATATTATTATTATTATTATTATAGCAAAATCTGCCACCCTAACTCCTCCCACAGTTTTTACACTACATAGACCAAAATTTACCAAAACGTGCAGATTGTTCCCGATCGGATTGCTATTACTTTGTGGAACGTTTCGCCGAATGGTTCACGGAATATCGTCGTTCTTGTGGCGAAATTTGTCCCATAGGAATGAATGGCAAAGCTAGAGTGGGAGCTGCCAAAAGCTGAAAAAATCAGGACATGATTTCTAAACTGCCACCACTCCCTTATTTTCAGGCCCACCTACACAAATCTTATATCAAAACGTTCAGCTATCCCTCCTGCCACTAAACATGTCAACGGCTAAGCCATAGTCCTGATAGTTTTCACAATATAATCATTTGTTTGCAACTAACGCCCATTGACTTTCATTGAAACTTCACTCTGCAAAGCTCAAATTTGAAGTGCAATTTCTAAACTGCGACTGTGCCTTCAATTTTAATACTTCAGAGACATACTATGCATCAAAATGTAGGTCTGGGTCTTGTGATTCTCACAATATAAAGCTCTTCACTGTAGGAGTTATAGTTTTTAAGATACCGTTGAAGATGGCAACCGCCAAAATACTCTGACCTGTGTCAAGCTGCAGCAGCAAGTGATGTCATAGACAGGGCCTTTTGAACACCTGCTAATGTTTTTATAAATGTATGGTTTAATGTAACTGTGCAACAACGTTGCAATTAAATGTGCTATGTAAATGATAACAGTTACTCCGCCCACTCCAGTTGTAGACTACAGGTGGAGGCAAGAACACTTCACACAATTTCCCCTAAAATTGTAACTTTTCTAGTTATTATTATTAAGTGTTCTTGCATAGCAAGACCACTTATTGTTATCTCACATATATATTATTATTATTATTATTATTATAGCAAAATTTGCCACCCTAACTCCTCCCACAGTTTTTACACTACATAGACAAAAATTTACCAAAACGTGCAGATTGTTCCCGATCGGATTGCTATTACTTTGTGGAACGTTTCGCCGAATGGTTCACGGAATATCGTCGTTCTTGTGGCGCAATTTGTCCCATAGGAATGAATGGCAAAGCTAGAGTGGGAGCTGGCAAAAGCTGAAAAATCAAGACATGATTTCTAAACTGCCACCACTCCCTTATTTTCAGGCCCACCTACACAAATCTTATATCAAAACGTTCAGCTATCCCTGCTGCCACTAAACATGTCAACGGCTAAGCCATAGTCCTGATAGTTTTCACAATATAATCATTTGTTTGCAACTAACGCCGTCCATTGACTTTCATTGAAACTTCACTCTGCAAAGCTCAAATTTGAAGTGCAATTTCTAAACTGCGACTGTGCCTTCAGTTTTAATACTTCAGAGACATACTATGCATCAAAATGTAGGTCTGGGTCTTGTGATTCTCTCAATATAAAGCTCTTCGCTGTAGGAGTTATAGTTTTTAAGATACGACCGTTTGAAGATGGCAACCGCCAAAATACTCTGACCTGTGTCAGGCTGCAGCAGCAAGTGATGTCATAGACAGGGCCTTTTGAACACCTGCTAATGTTTTTATAAATGTATGGTTTAATGTAACTGTGCAACAACGTTGCAATTAAATGTGCTATATAAATGATAACAGTTACTCCGCCCACTCCAGTTGTAGACTACTGGTGGAGGCAAGAACACTTCACACAATTTCCCCAGAAATTTTAGCTTTTCTAGTTATTATTACAATTATTATATTTATATAACGCCAACAAATTCTGTAGCGCATTACAATGGGTGGACTGACAAAAATGTACTTGTAACCAGACAAGTTTGAGGCACAGAAAAAGAGGTGCTGAGGGCAGTGCTCAATGAGCTTACAGGTGATACTCGGAAAATTAGAATATCGCGCAAACGTTAATTTATTTCAGTAATGCAACGTAAAAGGGGAAACTAATATATGAGATAGACGCATTACATGCAAAGCAAGATAGTTCAAGCCGTGATTTTTCATAAGTGCAATGATTATGGCTTACAGCTCATGAAAACCCCAAATCCACAATCTCAGTAAATTAGAATATTACATGCAATCAATAAAACAAGGAAGGAGTGTTCATAGAACAATAGTGGACCTCTGAAAAGTATAAGCATGCATATAGACTCAGTACTTTGTTTGGGCCCTTTTTGCAGCAATTACTGCCTCAATGTGGCGTGGCATGGAAGCTATCAGCCTGTGGCACTGCTGAGGTGTTATGGAAGACCAGGATGCTTCAATAGCAGCCTTCAGCTCTTCTGCATTGTTCGACCTCATGTCTCTCATCTTTCTCTTGGCAATGCCCCATAGATTCTCTATGGGGTTCAGGTCAGGTGAGTTTGCTGGCCAATCAAGCACAGTAATCCCACGGTCATTGAACCAGGCTTTGGTGCTTTTGGCAGTGTGGAAAATGAAGTCAGCATCCCCATAAACTCATCTGCGAAACGAGGCATGAAGTGCTCCAAAATCTCCTGGTAGACGGCTGCGTTGACCCTGGACTTAATGAAGCACAGTGACATGGCTCCCCAAATCAACACAGACTGTGGAAACTTCACACTGGACTTCAAGCATCTTGCAGTGTGTGCCTCTCCGTTCTTCCTCCAGACTCTGGGTCCTTGGTTTCCAAATGAGATGCAAAAGTTGCTCTCATGAGAAAAGAGGACTTTGGACCAGGTCTGTTTTTTTCAGTCCAGTTAAGATGCTTCTGACGTTGTTTGTTGTTCCGGAGTGGCTTGACAAGAGGAATACGACATCTGAAGCCCATGTCCAGGATCCGACTGTGTGTGGTGGCTCTTGATGCACTGACTCCAGCCTCAGTCCACTCCTTGTGAAAGTCCCCAACACTTTTGAATGGCCTTTTCCTGAAATCCTCTCCAGGCTGCGGTCATCCCTGCTGCTTGTGCACCTTTTTCTTCCACACTTTTCCCTTCCATATAACTTTCTATTAATGTGCTTTGATACAGCACTTTGGGAACATCCAACTTCCTTCGCAATTACCTTTTGAGGCTTTCCCTCCTTATGGAGGGTGTCAATGATGGTTTTCTGCACAACAGTCAGGTCAGCAGTCTTCCCCATGATTGTAATTCCCACTGAACCAGACTGAGAGACCATTGGCTCAGAAACCCTTTGCAGGTGTTATGGCTTACTTAGCTGATTAGAGTGGGACACTGTGAGTCTAGAATATTGCACCTTTTCATAATATTCTACTTTACTGAGATTGTGGATTTGGGGTTTTCATGAGCTGTAAGCCATAATCATCGCACTTATGACAAATCATGGCTTTAACTATCTTGTTTTGCATGTAACGCGTCTATTTCATATATTAGTTTCCCCTTTTACCTTGCATTACTGAAATTAACTTTTGCACGATATTCTAATTTTTCGAGGGAAGTAGATTGGTAGAATAGTATTCAATGAAGACTTAATGGCTACAAAAAAACACTACACTAACAGTTTAATGTTCATATGCTTTTGTGTAAGAGCTGATAATTACTTGAAAAACGAATTTCAGGGAGGTGGTTTCACCAGCTATTGTTCCTCCTCAAAAACACAGAGGGAATGAGGGAACAGCACAGTGAGCACTGACTGCTGCTGGATTTTAATTGGGTATATGTACAGCACTGTACACATTTATTGCTTGACTTTTACAGCGTATTGGGACAGCATAGTGATGGTTGCTGTACTGTATTCTCAGGCTGTATTGCAGGGGTGAAGTTGGAGAGCTGACAGTGACACCTACACACTGTATTGGCAGTACCAGGGGGAGGAGCTTTATGTACTGTTTCGGAATTAGAGAGGCAGGGTTACGATGTGCTTGGGAGGCGGTTTTAGGAGGGGCAGGATTGCCTTGTGGGCGGAGTTATAGGCACCATCACACTGACTGTAGCAAAATAATACAGAATGCTATCCAGGGGAAGAGCAGAAAGGGGCAGCCGTTGACTGACTACGTCACAAGGGAGGGGGCGTTCCGGTGTTTGCCGAGTGCAGTCGGAAGACATTCTGATAGCTAAATTCGTTAGCACACCGGATGAGGAAGTGTTTAGATTCAGCTGTGGTGACTGTCATAGGAGTGCGGTAAGAGAGTCTGCTCGCCTATCAATCAGATTATACAGAACATCGGTTATGTTTTGTAATTGTACATAACGTTTAATAGCACTCAGAGGCATATAATATGTCTCTCTCTCCCCACTCTCGTATTTGAAACTACAGGCCGGATTTTCCAAAAAGCAGAGTATAACTTTAAAACGGTGCGGCTTTATTAGAAATGTGTTCATTCAGAATGTTTTAGAACGGGGTGTGACTTCTCACGTGGGGTTCTCCTGGTATTGATCCTCGTCTTCTCTACTTTCTTTTTCTTATGAAGATCCAGCTCTCTATCTGAGCTAAACCTTGGAGTGCAGAAGCACCTCTTACTTAGTCTTCTGAGCTAAGCAAAGCAATGATAGGTTAGCTATTGGCAGCTGATCTCATTGCAGGGCTTAGCTGTGGAGAACTGGAGCCTCTGGCTCTATATAGGAAACAGAGCAGTACTGGGTAGACCCTAGATAAGATATCAATCCATTCTAAAATGCTTAAAGGGACACTCCAGGCAGCCCTTTTTACTCACCTGGTTCCAGTGCCGGAAGCCTCGTGAAGCTGCGCCCTCTATTTCGTCAAAATGACGAAATAGGCGGGCGTGAGTAGGGAGCAATCAGAAGCTTCCATTTGGAAGCGTCATTGCTCCCTTGGGCGCATACTTATGCCGCCCTATGAAGTCCTGAGCGCACTACCGCGCATGCTCAGCTTGCGATCTTTGACCACCCTCTCTCCTCTGCTGACAGAGGACAGAGCGCACACAGTGCCTTCTCTCTCCTGCACACGTCAGACGTATTTTAATACGTCTGACGTGTACATGGCCTTTTTAGGGCCATACATGATAGAAAGTCCCTCTGGTGGCCGTCTGAGTGAGCACAAAAAACACTTACAAACTGGTACCAAGGATGAGTGTTTACCACCAGTCCTCATAGGTTTGCCAGAGGCCAATTTCTGTAAAGCACATAGCAAATATGTAATTTGGGCACTTGTCACTTGGGCTCCACTTTACTTGTTAAAAAAACCAACAACCTGGAAAAAAAAAAAAAAATGTACACTACGTTCTATTAACCCCTTAAGGACAGAGCTTCAAAAGCTTGTCTTTCACTTAATGACAACAGCATTTATTTTTTGCTGTTTGCATTCAACTGCAATTTGCATTTTACTAATTTGTTGCACCAACACACAAAAATGTTGTGTTGTTTTTTTTACAGTTTTTGCCATAATAATGTGTGCATAATTAGTGCAGGTTAAGAAAAGTAATTAAAAATAAATTAATTTAGTTGTTCTGATTTACAGAATATATGTAATGTGTATGAGATTTTAAGGTTTTTTTTTTTGGTAGTTACAGGTCACAAAGCACATGGAGTAAAATAAACTTTTAATGTGGAGCGATTTTAGAATTTGGTATGTTTGTCTTGTAAGCTTAATAGCCATAAAAGAAAACAAAATTGCCACACAAAAGTATATATTTATATAAAGTAGACATCACAGGCTATTTATCTAAGGTTGTTTTGACACTTTCTACGTAGCCATTTCACCGCCAACATCTGCTAAATATTGGAGTAAAATTTATAACATCACTCCCATACTCTTGAATCCTAATTTTGAAAAGTGATTTTAAAAATTGTCTCTGATTGGCCAATTACACTTTTGGCGCAATTTTCAAATTAACATAGCCCTATTTAAACAACCCCTGCCAGGTTACTACTTTTATCCCATTCTGAAGAAACCACTTATGGTGAAACGCGTTTATGGTTATTAATTCTGTATTTTACTGTGTATTTTAGATCAATAAAAGTTTTTTGGCTACTTTATTGTACCAATCCTCTTTTTATTGCACTCTTTATGCACTTTAAACAACTTTTTTTTACCTATTCCTGGCATTTTAACCTTTCCTGGTTACTTTTACTTCCACTGGCAATTTTAAAGTTCCAGTACTCCAAGAAATCCTAGGTGGGGATTAGGGATCGACCGATATTGATTTTTTAGAGCCGATACCGATACCGATAATCTGCAAACTTTCAGGCCGATAGCCGATATCTTGCCGATATTCTGTACATTTACTATTTTGAATAAATAAACTAATTCGAAAGGTAAATGCACAAAATATACATGCCACATGTAGTGGATGAAGTGTGTTTAGACAGGGGAACTGTGTGTGTTTGTGTAGTGTGTGTGTGTGTAGTGGATGCAGAGTGTGTGTTTGTGTAGTGTGTGTATAATGAATGTAGTGTGTATATAATGTAGTGTGTGTGTATAATGCAGTGTGTTTTTGTGTGTATGTAATGCAGTGTGTGTGTGTGTTTGTGTAGTGTGTATGTATGTAATGTAGTGTGTGTATGTAATGCAGTGTGTTTGTGTAGTGTGTATGTAATGCAGTGTGTTTGTGTAGTGTGTATGTAATGCAGTATGTGTGCAGTGTGTCTGTCTGTGTAGTGTGTATGTAATGCAGTGTGTGTCTGTGTAGTGTGTATGTAATGCAGTGTGTGTTTGTGGTGTGTGTGTAGTGTGTCTGTCTGTGTAGTGTGTGTATGTAATGCAGTGTGTGTCTGTGTAGTGTGTATATAATGCAGTGTGTGTGTATGTAATGCAGTGTGTGTGCAGTGTGTGTTTGTGTAGTGATTTTTGTAATTTTTTATTTTAATATTTTTTTAATATTTAAATGTTTTTTTTTGTTTAGTCCCCCCCCTAGTGTGTGTTTGTGTAGTGTGTATGTAATTCAGAGTGTGTGCAGTGTGTGTTTGTGTAGTGTGTGTGTTTGTGTAGTGATGTAATTTGTGTAATTTTTTATTTTAATATTTTTTTCAATATTTAAATGTTTTGTTTTTTTGTTTAGTCCCCCCCAGTGTGTGTTTGTGTAGTGTGTATGTAATGCATAGTGTGTGCAGTGTGTGTTTGTGTAGTGTGTGTGTTTGTGTAGTGATGTAATTTGTGTAATTTTTTATTTTAATATTTTTTTTAATATTTAAAAAAATATATATATTTTTTGTTTAGTCCCCCCTCCCTGCTTCTTACCAGGGAGGGGGATATAGTATTCCCTGGTGGTCCAGTGGCTTGTTAAGTATAGTGGTGGCTCAGCAGCAGCAAGCGCTGACTTACCTTGCAAGCAGCTCCTACAGCTCCCTATGTAAATCTCGCGGCTCTTAGTGCCGCGCGGAGCGTTGCCATGGTAACCCGTGGCAACGCTCTGCGGCCGCGGGTCTCGCGAGATTTACACAGGGAGCTGCTGGAGCTGCATGCAAGGTAAGTCAGCGCTTGCTGCTGGCCCCCACAGGACCGCCGGGCTTGTAATGGGCACGGCGGTCCTGTTATATATTATCGGCAATATCGGTATCTGAATTGGCCGATACCGATATTGCCGAAAATACCAAATATCGGCCGATTATATCGGCCAGACCGATAATCGGTCGATCCCTAGTGGGGATCATACCACCGGCGCCTATCCATAGAGCAGTACCTCTGCTCTATCTTTGTGAGTATTATTTTATTTTCTCTACTACTCTCTTAACCTATCACAATTGAGAGCACTATTGCTGCTTTTTATTCTTCTATATTGGAGCCTTGGATCACCAGACGGTGCTGACGGACGTATCGCCGCTACATATCCTATAAGCGGGGATTATACCGCTGTACGCTATCCACACCAGAGCTGGCCATAGCTCCCTCAAATGTGAGTTTTTTACCTCTTCTTATCTGCACATTGAACCACATCAAAATTGAGAGCACTATTGTTGCTTTCTGTCTTTCTTTTCTGAGTTCTGGACTACCAGACGGTGTTGATGGAGACCCCCTCCCTACATATCCCATAAGCGGGGATTATACCGCTGTACGCAATCCACACCAGAGCTGGCCATAGCTCTCTTGAATGTGAGTTCTTTACTTTTTGTTACCTATCACACCCTGAACTTTCATACTATACCATTAGTCGCCTCTACCTCTCTTGTATTTACATATACGGAACGGTCTACACCAGACGCATCCACAGAGGAACTCTATCAAGTATCCTAGACCATCTATTGGCACCCTAGCAATACTTTACTGGACTATCTACCCTTATTTGGCGCAGCCCTTCCATATCTTTTTGTATCTATCCACCGAAGGACCCGAGGGGATTTCCTTCATTTGGGTTGCTGCCTACCTTGACTAATTTTGTGATTACTAGCGCTGAATTCTTTTTGTGTTTATCAATACCCCCGTATGTACCTTTGCCAGGTATATGTGGACATCGGAGGGGCACATTTGGGACACAGCCATTCCAGTTTTTTTCAAACTTTAAATTTTTACGCTGTGCCCATGTCCCATTTTAGAGTATTTTACCAGGCTATATAATCCAAATACCCCATAAAGCCATACCATTTCTTAAAGAAGACATCCCAGGGTATTTCAAAAGGCATATTTTGAACCTTAGCGTGGGATAATTTTTCCTCTAGCTTGTACCAAGTGTAGTGGTAATAAGCATTTTTTCTGCCTTTTTGACATACAAAGGTGAGTTTGCACAGTATATTTTGCAAACCTTTAAGCTTAATTTTTAACTTTTTTAAAGTTTATTTTAAAACTTTTTTAACATTAACCCCTAGTTAGCCTAACGCCAAATCCCTCAATTCCCCGCTAACTTCCACTCACCCCAGCTAGCTAAATATATAATTTTAAAATATTTTAATTAATTAAATAAATTTAACCCCTGAGGGTTAAAAAAAATAAAAAAAAAGAATTAACCCTCAGGGGTTAAAAAAAAATAAAAAAAAATCAGATCATAGTAAAATGTAATCCCTGCCAATTGATCA